CCCCCACTGGGGCCTTCGGTGGAGCTCCCTAGTGGCCCACGAAACGCTGCCCTGGGTGGGGGAACCGCATGCGCTTACCCCCACTGGGCCTTCGGTGGAGCTCCCTATGGGGCCACGAAGCGCTGCCCTGGGTGGGGGAATCGCATGCGCCCACCCCCACTGGGGCCTCCGGTGGAGCTCCTTGTGGGGCCAAGAAGCGCTGCCCTGGGTGGGGGAACCGCATGCGCCCACCCCCACTGGGGCCTCCGGTGGAGCTCCTTGTGGGGCCAAGAAACGCTGCCCTGGGTGGGGGAACCGCATGCGCCCACCCCCACTGGGGCCTCCAGTGGAGCTCCTTATGGGACCACGAAACGCTGCCCTGGGTGGGGGAACCGCATGCGCCCACCCCCACTGGGGCCTCCGGTGGAGCTCCTTGTGGGGCCAAGAAAACGCTGCCCTGGGTGGGGGAACCGCATGCGCCCACCCCCACTGGGGCCTCCGGTGGAGCTCCTTGTGGGGCCAAGAACGCTGCCCTGGTGGGGGAACCGCATGCGCCCACCCCCACTGGGGCCTCCGGTGGAGCTCCCTATGGGGCCACGAAACGCTGCCCTGGGTGGGGGAACCGCATGCGCCCCCCCCCCCCCCCCCCCCTGGGACCTTCGGTGGAGCTCCCTATGGGGCTACGAAACGTGTGAGAGGTGTGCCGAGAGCAGAGGCAAGGAGGGGGAGGAGGGAGGAGGGGGAGGAGGGCGGGAAGGAAGGAAGGAAGGAAGGAAGGAAGGATAGAAGGAAGGAAGGAAGGAAGGAAGGAGGAACGCGGGGCACCGTCTCTTCAAAACGAGGACCCAACACCACAGGATGGTTGGGAAACAGCCTACAGGACTGCACAGCGAGAGCCCCAAGATGACCTACGAAGGCCAAGAGGTCGATGCCCCCAGAGGCCCCCAAGACGCTCCAGCAGGAGGCTCCGCCGCCCCTTGCTGGTTACCATATGGGTGCACGGCGTGTTGGACGTTGGGTTGTTTTGGCCCTCCCGCGAGGTTCACTCAGGCATCCGGCCCAGCCCGCCAGCCACCTAGAAAACATGAGACAGAACTAAGAAAATGTCTGGTCCGTCGGTTCTCCCACTCCTGTTTCGGTTTTGGCTCTTCAAGACGGCCCCATAAGCCCCACGATCACCCCAAGACGACCCAGAAGGCCCGGCCCCATAGACCTCCAAGACGTCCCGAAAGTGCCCAAAGAGGGACCCACGACTGCCCAGAGAGGGCCTCAAGACAGCCTCCGAAGGCCAAGAGGTACCCTAGAGGCCCCCAGAGGCTCCCAAGAGGCCTCCAAGAGCCCAGAGGAGGCCCCGAAGAAGCCCCACGGAGGCCCTCAAAAAACTCCCGGGAAGCCCTCGGGGCCTCCACAGGCCTTCTCTCCCTCCCCTCCTCTTCCAGATCAGCAGCTTCTCCCTGTCGCACCCCGAGGCCAGCTGTTAGGGCGGGCTGGGCGTCTCGCCCGAGACTTCCTGACCATGTATGACCCCGAGGCCCAGGCATCGGCCACAGTCTCACAGGTGGAGGGCGGGTCGATTTCAAAATGTGGCTCTCGCCTTAGGGCTGCGCATATATTCGTCTTGAAAACGGTGCAAGAGCTTCGCGGATGGAGGCCCTAGCATTGGCAACAGTGTCATAGGTGGAGGGCGGGTCGATTTCAAACTGTGGCTCTCGCCTCAGGGCTGCGCATATATTCGTCTTGAAAACGTTGCAAGAGCTTCGCGGATGGAGGCCCAAGCATTGGCCACAGTGTCATAGGTGGAGGGCGGGTCGATTTCAAACTGTGGCTCTCGCATCAGGGCTGCGCATATATTCGTCTTGAAAAAGTTGCAAGAGCTTCGCGGATGGAGGGAGGGTCGTTCGCAAAACGTGGCTCTCGCCCTAGCGCTGAGAGCTCCACGGCGTGAGGGCGGCTCCATGTCAAAATGTGGCTCTCGCCCTGGCGCCGCGCACCTTCGTTGTTTTGTCAAGTTGCCAGAGTTCCACCGTAAATCACAAAATAATTGTTAAGTGGCGCCGCGCCAGAATGTCATAATTATTTTGCCGTAGTTTGCCAGGTTCCATTTTAATTGGCACCGCGCCGCCCCCAGAATCAGCGTACCAGGAATGGCTGGAAGATTTCAGGATTATACAGGTGCAACACTTACGTCGATTCGCGGTGATGAAGGTCTAACAATGGCGTTCTGCTACGACTCAGGACCGTCAAGACGCAACAGTCAGGTGTATCAGTACCAGTGGCGTTGGATGTGTCCATGTTTTCGGCATGGTTCAGGGTCTTCAAACGGTTATCGTCCAACGAGGCAGTTCCCTCATCGGAAATGAAGCGTTGTAGGCGCCTATGGAGAGGGAGCTTGGAGGGAGGGTTTATTCCAACATCGTTGATGACTCTTGGGTTTACACTGGTCCTCGTCCTCCTCCTCCTTCTCATCCTCGTCCTCCTTCTCCTCCCTCTCCTCCTCCGTCCTCTTCCTCTCCTGAGTTCCCCCCCGAGGGCTTCAACAAAGGCTGGGGGAACACATAGTCCCATAGATTGGCCAAGCTTAGGCCCAACGTTTGGCTGCATGGGCATTTTCAAAAGGCAGAGGGCGGTGGTGATTCGCCATAGGCATCTCCGACATCCTACACAATGTCCTGAACAATGCCCGACACACGATCCTGAACTATAGATTGCACTACGTAGTGAACAATGTCCTAAACAACATCGCAGGTACGACCACACACCATACCACACTGTACCCGTTCATCCATGAGTACTTACACACTACCACAAACGCACCCCACATGTCCAAATCGTCTTGGCCTTGCTGCGTGCCCCCCGGGGGGTCCCAGCATATTGTCGCGTGACCTGTCGGGCCCCAGAGGGCCCCAAGGCGAAAAAAGAGGCCCACAAGACGGCCCAACAGGGCCCCGAGTCGCTGAAAGATCGCCCCAAGACCCGTAAGATGGCTTCCAGACGGCCCAAGAGGCCTCTAAGACGCCCCAGAGGCCTCCGAGAGGTCTCCTCAGAGGGCAGCACAATTCGCCGATTTCCCGGGGGGTGTTGAAGGATTTTGGAATTCTCGCCTTTCTAGCTTCCCGACGCTCCAAGACGGCCCTAGGAGCCCCCAAGAGGACCCCAAGACGGCCCAAGAAAGCCCCAAACGGCCCAAGAGGCGCCCCCCAATATGCACCAAAAGCGGCTCCAAGAGGGGGCCCAGATGAAGAAACCCGAACGGACAGTTCGAGTCCTTCGCCCCGAGGGACCCCCAGGAGGCCCCAAGAGGCCCCCACAGGGGCCCCCAAGAGGCCCCAAGAGGCCCCCAGGAGGCTCCCAAGATGCCCCAAAACTACCCCCAGAGGCACCCGAGAGCGCTCCGAAGAGACTCTAAGACGCATCCCTTATTGCTCTGACCCGCGACACAGGCACGGTGGCGGGGGCCGAAGGCCACTAGATACCAGATCATAAACGTCATTAGCAAATCCGTATCCAAAATCCTAAGCACTATCAGCAGCACTGCCGACAATAGCCTGAACATGCTCCGAAGCAATATCATACGCAATGTCCTGAGCAATGCCATAAACAATATCCTAAACGAGGTCCTGAAACATCGTCTTGTCAATATCCAGAACAATGTCCTAGACACCGTCCGAAAAGACGTCCCTAATCCATAGAATAAAAAACCGTGAATACCATACACACCAATCCACCCGCTATTCTAAGCCGTTCCCTAACTGAAGGTCTGAAACGAGATTCAAACACGTATCAGAAGCACTACCCTGAACAAGATCTTAGCCAAGATCCTGATCGCTATCCGGGGTAGATGCCTGAACCATATGCTGACGGATACTCAAACCAGTGTAGCGGCATACTGAAAGAAATCCGATGCAAGAACCGTCCTAAGCAATCCTGACCATCCTAAAGTATCCTGACCATCCTCCCAAGCAATACCATAAGCAATAGTAACAAGGCCTCAACATGACGTCGATACGATCTCAAGATGTCCTTTACTCCGGGTGGTACCTGTATTCTGGGGGGGGGGGTCATGAGTCTAGGAGGGGTACCTGAAGTCCAGGAGAAGGGTGCCTAGTCCGCGGGGTACGTGTGGTCTGGAGCCCCCAAACTACTGAGGGACTCGATATAACGACGGAGACGATAGCTCTACATCATAGTTTCTGCCGTTGCTCATATTGGTCCCTCCAGTGCCTGGATGAAGGCGAATCGTAAGGGCTCCGCAGACAGGGGCCCGGGATGACCCCAAGAGGGTCCAGGCGGGCCACGGGACGGCCCAAGTCAGCCCCTAAAGAAGCACATGCCAAGCCAGCCCCAGATGGCACCGAGAACCCCTCACAACAACCCAACAAGACACAACACTGCAAAAGAAGGCCCCTGGAAAGGCTGGCATGTGCCGCGTCCGCAACTCTGGCGTCCGCCGGACGCGAGCCCGCCGGACGCGAGCGCAAGGATGGACAAGCGAGGCGTGATGGCTATGAGGGCGAGGCAGGGGAGAAGGAAGGCGGAGAAATTGCTGAGCGGCAGAGCAAAAGAAGGAGGAGGAGGACGACGACGAGGAAGAGGAATAAGAAGAGGAGGAGGGGGGAGGGCGAAGATAATGAGAACGTACGACCAAGGGAAGGCGGAGAGGAAGGGGAAATGATACGGAAAGGGAAAGAGATGGCGGTCCCAGAGGTGGAGAGGGGGAATGGTAGATGATCCGAAGGCCCGCGAAGACCGACGAGTGCAACACGGGCATCTACACGTATGTGTGCATGCACACATATGTGTGAAGATGTATACATACATGGTGTGTCATTCCGATTGGATCTCCCACGCGACCTACGGTCAGCGTTGGAGCGGGTTGAACCAAATTAATGGCCTCCAAGAATGTGGAACGCTAAGGAACCTATCTGGTAAACGGTAAACGAAATAGGAGTGAAAAGACAGCTGACAGCCAGTACAGATCCTCTCCATCTCTCCTCTATCGATGGGCCAAACAATGCCCAGTC